GGGAGATTAGGAGAAAGAGAGAGGAAGAGGGAAGAAGATGACGGGGAAAATGAGACCCGGGCATCACCGGGTACCTCCCCCCCCCCTTCTCGTGTGCAATACAGTCATTCTGACTAAGCGAAACAACCTCGTAGTATTTCAAGAGTTCCCGAACAGCTAAATACATGTAAACAAAGCCGCCATAATTGCTGTTAGATGTACAGGTTTCGTAGTTGGATACGGAAATGCATAATGAATCCTGACCCTGGAATCAGCTGGAAACTAGAAATAACTCCAGCGGGAACTTTTACTTTTGTTTACTTTTCAGCAACTTTTTTACTCAAGTTACTTTTGTTTATTATTTCCAGTGTAGGGTTTTGTGGGGGCATGGTAACACTGTTGTCGTTTGTCTCCCCCGTCTGTCTGTCTCTCTCTTGGAGTCTGTCTATCCGTCTGTCTGCTTCTCCCGTCTCTCTGACAGTCCCTCTGCTTCTGTTCACTCGTGGAGCTTCGTTCGTCATTAGGTTTTGAAAGTTAAACATTTGTCTCCTAAAAGAAATCAGATTACATACACTCAACAGGGATTTTCAACTCATCAAAATGTATCTGAACTTGGTAAGGAAAGAGCTCACGCCAAACTCACGCAAATCTCACGCCAAACTCACGCAATCCCAAGACCGACAGGTGAATCGCTGGTGTTTTGCGTGGTTCAAGGAATTCAAGACTCAAGGGGGGGGGGGGGGTGAGTGTTGGTGTTTGTGAGTGATGGGATTGAAGACTCTTCAATCCCATCTTCAATCTTCAATCTTGAAGAATGTTCTTCAGCTACTGCCTATTCATTGGATATTTCATATAAAATAAACCTACCCGAAACGAAACGAAATCTAATCTATGACTAACTTTCCTACCTACAAACCCATCTACCTACCTACTCATCTACCTATCTACCCATCTACCTACCTACCTGTCACAAATTCAATTCAATACGAGATTCGTTGTGTTCTGGGATTTACAGCAATCCTGTTAGGCAGTATACACACGATTTTCTTAAATTTATGTAAATGATAACAGATGTCGTTAAATATTTTATCGAACGGAGTAAATTGATATCAGACATGGTTAAATAACACCACAAATAATACATCAGATAGTTGAATTATACCATAGCTGAATTATTCTATAAAAAGTTTACTATATCAAACGTAGTTAAATTATTCTAAATATAATTGGAGTATACCAGGTATAAGTAAAATATAATAAACATAGTTAAATTACGCCAGAAATAGTAAAATTATACCATAGTTGAATTTTATATAATATGTTAAATGATATCATAGTTGAATTATACCAGTTTCCTTTATACCAAGAAACCATTGTATATATAAATACAATGGTATATAACTGCGGTATGGTACAGTTACCAGCGAGACTGTAATAGTCATCTCATCACTCACCAGCCAATGAGGGTAAGGGATTGAAACTGGCAGTTTACGATCACGGCCCAGCGAGTGTAGCGAGGCCAGGATACCTCCCACACCAACTGCATTTGCCGATACTTCCGTCTGGCTGGCCCTACTCTTTATTGTTATGGTACACCTGGCTCAGGTGTAGCAGTCGGTTGGTGTTGGGGGAACCGGTTAGTGTGTGGGGGGAACTGGTTAGTGTGGGGGGAACTGGTTAGTGTGGGGGGGAACTGGTTAGTTAGAGGGGTTGACTGGTTAGTGTGGGGGGGGGGGACAGGTTAGTGTGTGGGGAATTGGTTAGTGTGGGGGAACTAGTTAGTGTGTGGGGGAAACTGGTTAGTGTGTGGGGACTGGTTAGTGTGGGGGGACTGGTTAGTGTGGGGGGACTGGTTAGTGTGGGGGGACTGGTTATTGTGGGGGGCTGGTTAGTGTGGGGGTCTGGTTAGTGTGGGGGACTGGTTAGTGTGTGGGGGAACTGGTTAGTGTGGGGGGACTGGTTAGTGTGGGGGACTGGTTAGTGTGTGGGGGAACTGGTTAGTGTGGGGGGACTGGTTAGTGGGGGGGGGGGGGACTGGTTAGTGTGGGGGAACTGGTTAGTGTGTGGGGGAACTGGTTAGTGTGTGGGGACTGGTTAGTGTGGGGGACTGGTTAGTGTGTGGGGGAACTGGTTAGTGTGGGGGGACTGGTTAGTGTGGGGGGACTGGTTAGTGTGGGGGGGACTGGTTAGTGTGGGGGGACTGGTTAGTGTGGGGGGGACTGGTTAGTGTGGGGGAACTGGTTAGTGTGGGGGGACTGGTTAGTGTGGGGGGCTGGTTAGTGTGGGGGGGAACTGGTTATTGTGGGGGGAACTGGTTAGTGTGGGGGGGAACTGGTTAGTGTGGGGGGAACTGGTTAGTGTGGGGGGATTGGTTAGTGTGGGGGGACTGGTTAGTGTGGGGGGAACTGGTTAGTGTGGGGGGATTGGTTAGTGTGGGGGGATTGGTTAGTGTGGGGGGACTGGTTAGTGTGGGGGGACTGGTTAGTGTGGGGGGACTGGTTAGTGTGGGGGGACTGGTTAGTGTGGGGGGAACTCGTTAGTGTGGGGGGAACTGGTTAGTGTGGGGGAACTGGTTAGTGTGGGGGACTGGTTAGTATGGGTGTGGACTGGTTAGTGTGGGGGGAACTGGTTAGTGTGGGGGGAACTGGTTAGTGTGGGGGAACTGGTTAGTGTGGGGGGGAACTGGTTAATGTGGGGGGAACTGGTTAGTGTGGGGGGAACTGGTTAGTGTGGGGGACCTGGTTAGTGTGGGGGGGGAACTGGTTAATGTGGGGGGAACTGGTTAGTGTGGGGGGGAACTGGTTAGTGTGGGGGGAACTGGTTAGTGTGGGGGGAACTGGTTAGTGTGGGGGGACTGGTTAGTGTGGGGGGACTGGTTATTGTGGGGGGAACTGGTTAGTGTGGGGGAACTGGTAGTGTGGGGGAACTGGTTAGTGTGGGGGGACTGGTTAGTGTGGGGGAACTGGTTAGTGTGGGGAGGAACTGGTTAGTGTGGGGGAACTGGTTAGTGTGGGGGGAACTGGTTAGTGTGGGGGGAACTGGTTAGTGTGGGGGAACTGGTTAGTGTGGGGGGACTGGTTAGTGTGGGGGAACTGGTTAGTGTGGGGAGGAACTGGTTAGTGTGGGGGAACTGGTTAGTGTGGGGGACTAACTAGGTGGTAGTCTTCGCCAAGTCGTTACTATACCCTTGCTCTGTATAGAGATAAGTTGACTTATACTCTATAAATCAACTCTATATAGTTGACTGTATATACGAATGAGTTATTCCATCCATTAACAGTCCCCGTGGCGCAGTGGTAAGACACTCGCCTGGCGCTTGGCGAGCGTTTTGGCCTGGGTTCGAATCCTGACCGGAGAGGATTTACTAGGCCCCAATCCTTAACTGAAGCCTCTGTTCACCCAGCAGTGAATGGGTACCTGGTTGCTAAACGATTTGGCACGTCGTATTCCAGGGAAAATTAGGATTAAGGGCTTGCCCGAAACGTACAAGAATGTAAGTATATATAAATGTATATAAACATTTGTATATATATATATATAAATAAAATAAAATAAATAAAATAAGATATTCAATTAACAGTTCACTGAAAGTAGTATAGGATCAACTCAAAGATCCTATATATACTAGTTACAACGAATTGTTAATTGAACATCTAATGAATAACTAATTCGTGAATTATTGAAAAATGGTTTATGACCCGTTGCGTGATCCAGTCCTATATATATATATTGGTGAATAGGTGTCCTGTGGAGAGTATTGTGTTTTATGGTGTAAACAAGCGAATGCCACGCTCGTGGGGAGTATTGGGGCCGACATACAAGCTCCCGTGTTCCTGGTAATGGACTCCCCGGGGATAGATCGAATGCTCTCTAAGACTCAATCACGTGCTGTGGCATGTAGAACTGATCCTTGGCAGCTCACACACGTGCGTGTGTGTTTGTGTGTGTGTGTGTGGCTGTGTGTGTGTGGCTGTGTGTGTGTGTGTGTGTGTGTGTGTGTGTGTGTGTGTGTGTGTGTGTGTGTGTGTGTGTATGTGTGTGTGTGTGTGTGTGTGTGTGTGTTTGTGTGTGTGTGTGTGGCTGTGTGTGTGTGTGTGTGTGTGTGTGTGTGTGTGTGTGTGTGTGTGTGTGTGTGTGTGTGTGTGTGTGTGTCTGTGTGTGTGTGTGTGTGTGTGTGTGTGGCTGTGTGTGTGTGTGTGTGTAATTACCTAAGTGTTCACCACCTTCTCACTTAACTTGTTCCAACCGTCCACCACTCAGTTTGCAATAGAAAACTTCGTAATATATTTTTCGGCATCTTTGTTTCCTTAGTTTGAATCTTTGTTGCTGGTTTCAAGAATTCCTCTTTGTCAATATAATCTATTCCTTTTAGTATTTTGTATGTGGTGATCATATCACCTCTTTTTCTTCTATCTTGTATTTTTGGCATATTTAACACCTCGAGCCTCTCCTAACCCCTGTTTTTCAGTTCCGGAACCCAATTTGTTTCATGCCTTTGCACCTTTTCCAAATTACCTATGTGCTCCTTGAGATTTGGACACCATACAACTGCTGCATATTCCAATTTTGGTCTCACAAAGGTCATGAACAGTTTCTTTAGAATTTCACCATCCATATAATTAACAGCAAGTCTGAAGTTAGAAAGCGACGCAAATGCTCCTCTCACAATGTTCTTTATGTGTTCCTCTGACGACAGCTTACCATCCAAAACCACTCCGTGTGTGCGAGAGAGTGAGAGAGAAAGAGGGAGAAAGAGACAGAGAGAGAAAGAAAGACACACAAAAATAGAGAGAAAAAGGACACAGACGGGGCGAGGCAGCGACAATGAAAGGGACAGAAAAAAAGCCCAGCAAACCCGTCTGTCCTGTGCATGGGAGTTACTGAGACAGTCTTCACTTAGCGAACAAACTTTCTCCCAGCCGGCGCCTGAGAGGAATTGATTACCATTGTGTCGTCCGCGTCTCCCCTTCCCTTCCTCTCCTGAGGGCATTGTTGATCCCTGGGAGGCATATATCCCATTCTCATATAATAAACACGAACCGATATTTGCATATCGTCATGCAGTTGAGAAGTTTGCCTGTGATAGTGCCCATGCCAGTGCCCAGGACAATGCCCATGCCAGTACCCATGCCAGTGCCCAGGGCAATGCCCATGTCAGTACCCATGCCAGTGCCCAGGGCAATGCCCATGACAGTACCTATGTCAGTGCCCATGCCAGTACCCATATCAGTACCCATGCCAGTGCCCAGGGCAATGCCCATGCCAGTACCCATGCCAGTGCCCAGGGCAATGCCCATGCCAGTACCTATGTCAGTGCCCATGCCAGTACCCATATCAGTACCCATGCCAGTGCCCAGGGCAATGCCCGAGGACAGTCCCTAAACCATGTATTAAAACGCTTGAACACACGCGAGATTAAACAACTCTTGAGAGTGAACATTCGGGCAAAATAAAGTGGAAAGTATGCTGTGCAACTTGCAACATGATGGGGGTGGGGGGGGGGGACAGTAATTTCCCTGGGCGAAGAGAATTGGCACAGCATTTTGCCCTTCATCTCCCCGTGATAGTTTGAACTTCCGGTACGAAGGTCAATTTTCGCGACCTTTTCGACAATTGCTTGAAGGTAATCTCATCGCAGTGGTACCCACCTCATGTATATATATATATATATATATATATATATATATATATATATATATATATATATATATATATATATATATATATATATATATATCCTCCACCGAACACCGGTGTATTTGCGGCCATGCACGGGCAGACCAATACGGCAGCCATGGTCTCATCTGTCGTAAGACACAGGGAAAGATTGCCAGACATGAAGCAGTCAATGACATCATCAAGAGAAGTTTGGCTACAGCTGGGTGCCCAGCAGAAAGGGAACCTCAGTTGTGCAGACCTGACAACAGCCAAAAACGCCCAGATGGAGTCACCCGGCAGCCGTGGAGGGAAGGTAAACAGGTCGTATGGGATTACACCTGTGCATTTACATTGACTGATACCTATTTACGTTACAGCTCAGCGGAGGGAGGTGGGGCAGCCACCTTCAGGGAGACCCAGAAAACTAACAAGTACAGGGACCTAGAACGTTGTTACAGGTTCGTGCCGATAGGCTCTGAGACTCTGGGCGCCTGGGGTAAATGTGCACTCAAGTGTTTAAAGGAGGTGGGTGAGGAACTCATTGGGAAAACTAGAGACCCAAGAGCGGCCAGTTTCATGTTCCAGCGCCTCAGTGTCGCTGTTCAGAGGGGAAATGCGTGCTGTATCCTGGGTACGCACCCGACCCCCGAGGAGCTGGACGAGGTCTTCGAACGCTCATTGTTATATTGTTAAATATATGTGTGTGTGTGTTCTCTGTAAACTGTAGCATTGCAATAAAACAAAATAAAACAAAACATACAAAAAATAATAGGGGTGGTAGGAGAGGAAAAGATTAAAGTATTCAGTGAGAGTCCACAAGGTCTTCTCTGAATGCTCTTTGTTTTCTTCTCCGAGGATGTGGGTCCCTGCAATTGCACCAGAGGTGGTACCCCTATATATATATATATATATATATATATATATATATATATATATATATATATATATATATATATATATATATATATATATATATATAGTCAACTTGTATATAGAATTCACGTTATATCTATACGTATATGAGAATATACCTGTCTGTCTGTCTGTCTTTAAAGTAGATATCCAGACGCTTGACCCGGAAATCCGGGATAAACTCGGGGTCACTTCCCCTTTTACCAGGTAGTACAGGGAAGGGGGAAGTGGGGAGGGGGGGGGGGTAAGGAAAGTGATGATGGGGGAGGGGGAAGGGGGATTGGGAGGGATGGGTGGAGAGGGGGGGGGGAGGGGATTGTTATGACCCATGCCCCATCAGTTCAGATTGGATACGCTGAGGTCATACCTTTAAGAGTCAAAGTACCTCCACTACAATGTCATTCATTCTGCAGTAGTTGAAATATCCTTATATACACGTGTATTTTATTGTATTATGCTGTTTGCTATTGTATTGCCTTATTTATTTTGTTCCATGATGTTGGGTGTGAGTGTGTAACTGCTTGTTAGACCAGGTGTGAGGACGCGGTAACTGTCACTAACCTGCCTGTACTCACCTAATTGTGCTTGCGAGGGTTGAGCTCTGGCTCTTTGGTCCCGCCTCTCAACCGTCAATCAACAGGTGTACAGGTTCCTGAGCCTATTAGGCTCTATCATATCTACACATGAAACTGTGTATGGAGTCAGCCTCCACCACATCACTTCCTAATGCATTCCATTTGTCAACCACTCTGACACTAAAAAAGTTCTTTCTAATATCTCTGTGGCTCATTTGGGCACTCAGTTTCCACCTGTGTCCCCTAGTGCGTGTGCCCCTTGTGTTAAACACCCTGTCTTTATCAACCCTGTTGATTCCCTTGAGAATCTTGAATGTGGTGATCATGTCCCCCCTAACTCTTCTGTCTTCCAACGAAGTGAGGTTTAATTCCCGTAGTCTCTCCTCGTAGCTCATACCTCTCAGCTCGGGTACTAGTCTGGTGGCAAACCTTTGAACCTTTTCCAGTTTAGTCTTATGCTTGACTAGATATGAACTCCATGCTGATGCCGCATTCTCCAGGATTGGTCTGACATGTGGTACATAATGTTCTGAAAGAATCCTTACACAAGTTTCTAAAGGCCGGTCTTATGTTAGCCAACCTGGCATATGCTGCTGATGTTATCCTCTTGATATGAGCTTCAGGGGACAGGTCTGGCGTGATATCAACCCCAAGGTCTTTCTCTCTCTCTGACTCTTGAAGTATTTCATCTCCCAAATGGTACCTTGTATCTGGTCTCCTGCTTCCTACCCCTATCTTCATTACATTACATTTGCTTGGGTTAAACTCTAACAGCCATTTGTTCGACCATTCCTGCAGCTTGTCCAGGTCTTCTTGAAGCCTCAAGCTGTCCTCCTCTGTCTTAATCCTTCTCATAATTTTGGCGTCGTCAGCAAACATTGAGAGGAATGAGTCTATACCCTCTGGGAGATCATTTACGTATCAGAAACAGGATAGGTCCAAGTACAGAGCCCTGTGGGACTCCACTGGTGACTTCACGCCAGTCTGAGGTCTCACCCCTCACTGTAACTCTCTGCTTCCTATTGCTAAGGTACTCCCTGATCCACTGGAGCGCCCTACAAGTTACTCCTGCCTGTTTCTCTAGCTTATGCATCAACCTTTTATGGGGTACTGTGTCAAAGGCTTTCCGACAGTCCAAAAAAATGCAGTCCGCCCACCCTTCTCTTTCTTGCTTAATCTTTGTCACCTGATCGTAGAATTCTATCAAGCCGGTAAGGCAAGATTTACCCTCCCTGAACCCATGTTGATGGGTTGTCACGAAGTCTCTTCTCTCCAGATGTGTTACTAGGTTTTTTCTCACAATCTTCTCCATCACCTTGCATGGTATACAAGTTAAGGACACTGGCTTGTAGTTCAGTGCCTCTTGTCTGTCACCCTTTTTGTATATTGGTACTACATTAGCCGTCTTCCATATTTCTGGTAGGTCTCCCGTCTCCAGTGACCTACTATACACTATGGAGAGTGGCAAGCAAAGTGTTCCTGCACACTCTTTCAATACCCATGGTGAGATTCCATCCGGCCCAACAGCTTTTCTCACATCCAGCTCCAATAGGTGCTTCTTGACCTCATCTCTTGTAATTTCGAACCTATCCAAGGTCACCTGGTTTACTGCCACCTCTTCTAACGCCGTGATATCTCCCTGTTCTATTGTAAAGACCTCCTGGAACCTTTTGTTGAGTTCTTCACACACCTCTTTGTCATTCTCTGTGTACCTGTCCTCGCCCACTCTAAGTTGTGTGTGTGTGTGTGTGTGTGTGTGTGTGTGTCTGTCAGTATAGCCAATTGGTGCGGCTGCTAAGCTTCTTGTATCTACACACAGAAATCCCAATAGCGTCAACAAATGAACAAACCCACAAGGGCTGTGACGAGGGTTCGAACCTACGTCCGAGAGGATCCCAGACGCTGCCTTAATCGACTGAGCTACGACATGGTATAAGAATTGCAACCAGGAAATCAGCTTGACTTACCACGGATCCTGTAGTCTCTCCGAGACACAAAAAAACCTGGTTTGTATAAAAAAATATATGGTATATATATATATATATATATATATATATATATATATATACACACAAGCCAAGCGTACGTTTGGCTTGTCAAGCCAAGCGTACGTTTTATAATAACGTCCCCAAGGCGAAACCAGAAATTATTAACTCATTGGTGGTACCTTATGCGAGTGGACTTGAAAAACTGTCTCCGATTTTTAAGAAACTTAATATAAATTTGGTGTTCACTAATAGTACGATCAAATCCAATTTAATAAAAAACTCCCCTGATACAGCAGGTTGTGTGTATTCGATTCCCTGTAATGATTGTGATTCTGTGTACCTTGGACAAACAGGAAAGTCCTTACAATTGCGGTTGTCACAACATGCTTATAGTATTAGAACAGCCCAAACGTCTAATGCATTATATCTGCACACGAGTTTATGCGATCACACTATTAAATGGAATGGGGCGAAAAGCATTACCAATTGTGGTGATTTCGTGGAAAGGAATTTGATTGAGTCTGCTCTAATCAGTCAGTGTCCAAATCTTCTTAATGTTAGTACTGGAATGTACAAACTTGATCCATTTTTTAGTTATAATATTGCACAACAGTTTAAGAAAAAACTCTGATAGAGAGGCTTACAATGTCTCATTACAATTTTATATTCACATATTGTGTGTTCATGAGGCTTTTCTTTAATCTTTCATCCTTATTCTCTGACCGCTTAATCCTCTTTGACCTTTCTAAGCTAAGCTGTACCTGTTTCTGGTTAATCCTTTCCCTAGAGATGGGTGGATCAGGTTCCAGGTGTCGGCTTGTATCCTCTCTCTATCTCCTCTAGTCAGTCTGGTGTTGACAACGGCTTTAACAGGCCGAAACGTTCACTTTCTTTTATATTTCGTTTCTGTGGATCAACACCAGACTTTCAGTCGCAGGCTTTAACAAAGCCGAAACGTTCACCTCATTTCATATATCCGCATAAAATATCAGTGTTTTGTGATCGTCAATTATATATATATATATATATATATATATATATATATATATATATATATATATATATATATATATATATATATATATATATATATATATATATATACACAGCCTCGCTCCTGTGCCAGGTAAGACCACTACGGGCTCACCATAGCCCGTGTTACTTGGAACTTTTTGTTTTGAGAAGAATCTAAAACAACAATAACAAAACAGG